TTGTTGTTGTCGTTGTCGTTGTCGTGGTCGTTGTCGTAGTCGTAGCAGTAGTACGAGCAGTAGTAGTAAAAGTAGTAGTAGTTGTTGTTGTCGTAGTAGTAGTAGTAGTAGTAGTAGTACTAGTAGTACTAGGAAGTAGGAAGTAGGAAGTAGGAAGTAGGAAGTCGTAAGTCGTAAGTCGTAAGTAGTAGTAGGTATTAGTAGTACCAATAGCAGAGGCAGTAGTAGCATACATGATGGCCATGCATGAACCGATCGCAAGTAAATGCTTTCAGTGTACAGCTTCTAGATCTATTTTCATGGAGACTGCTTGCCAGCGCTCGTAACCAAAGGAAGCTTACACGCTGTTTAGCCTGTTGGATGACGATCAAGATGGAGAAGTGTCCTATGCCGCTTGGCCTGATTAGACGCTATATAAACTATAGAGCTCGTTAAAGTGTTTCAATGTCAACATTGCAGGGAATGGTTCTGAGCCATGTACTGCCAATCGCCAAGTGCAACGCCATGCAACTCAGGCAGTTGGGTCAGCCACAACTAGTTACAGAATCTAGCGTGTGGCTGGCATCGGCAGCACCAGTGCTTTCCTGTTGCAACAACGTTTCGAGCTGAGGAAGAATTCCTTCACAGCGCCCTCAGACTGAAAGGGAACGCCAGGGCCATCGATTCCATCATGATCATGCACGAGCAGACACCTGCCTGATGCGTAGCAGACTTTGGGATCTTTGGGTTTTGCAGAGCATATGAGACACTCGCCTGTGTGGTGTAGAGGGGCTCTCAACCCGGACATGCAGTCTTTGAAGATGTGCCTCGTTGTGTCAGCAGAATGCTTCACTCTGACCCGCACGCCCCGGCGCGGAACTCTGAGTTCAGGCTGGCCTGATTTTAGTCTGGAGCCAGTCACGTTGAAACCAAACCCATTCCTGAAAAGCCGATGCAGTAAAGTTCTTAATCGGCCCAACTATAATCCAGCGGCACTGTCGAAGCTCATCCCAGGGTGAAGATGCATGATGCTTTGAAGCGTCTCTCTGACATGGTGACCAGCTCCTTCAACGAGGCCAAAACAAAGAGATCTAAGTTTGAGGGGCTGTTGTTCAAACCGGGAGTGTTCATGATTCGAGATCCCCTCCCTCCTTCTCCCAACACCTTGCAGACTGGCAGGATAGATACGCTTGTAGGTGTTTCGGTTTTCTGACGGCAAAGGAGGATAATGTGGTCTTTTTTGTGTCTAAGCAGTTCGTAAATCGGGGCCTACGTAGACATGTTCATGTTGGTTCAAATGGGTGCCGATTTTGCAACAACACGAAATCTGCCTGGCCCAACGATAGAACGATAGAACGGGAGCGCATGCCGTCCAACACGCAGAAGTTCCAAAAAGCTGACTCGTTCTGTCTCTGTGTCGGAGGCGCAGAAGATCCGCGACCGGATCGAGGGTAAGATGGGCCCCAAGACGGTTCCCGAGGTCCAAGTGAGGCCTGGCCCCTTTCCATTCGCGTTCTGAGCTGGTGGGTTGGCAGAAGACTTGTGCCAGGGATCCCGTTCAGATGAGAGACGGCTAGGGCTTGCGGAAGTGGCTGGTCAGAACCGGACAGTGGGTTTAGCAACCCTTGTATGCTCGTCTTGCACACCGGAGGTCTAGCTGCACGACTGGCCCTGTTTGCCAGGCATCACCAGACGGACCACCGCAACTCTATGATGCTTGCCACGAAGATTACAACACAAGGGGCTGCCAGTGTAAGTAAGCCAGCAAGCGAAAGACCATCGTCCGTTTCTTCGTTCCAGCCAACTTTGATTCGCTCGCGGGACGCAGATGGCCTGTGGGAGATCTGCTGGAGAAGCGAGCAGAGCTAAGCCGTTACGCCCTTGAGGCCACCGACTCGACCTCAGGGATAAAGGCTCAAGCTGTCAGTTGTTCGTCCATCTCAGGGCTTCCGGCTTCAATTACTTGAGCGACCTCTTCATCCCACCGGAGAAGGTGAAGCAACGCATCGCTCAGAGGAGGCGCGTTGGGCCAGCAGTTGAAAGTATGTTATCATACGCAGAACACGGATTTTCACTGTGGTAATATTTTCTGCGTTGACCATTAAGAAGATATTACTAACATTGTTTCTACTTAATACTATTATTGCTATTATGAGTACGGTGTCTTCGCAATAATAGTGGCAACCCTACCAGATCGGAACTTCCCTCATTGCACAGAAGCTTCATAGATGGACCCAGCGCCACAGCAGCTTGTCCCCGACGCCAGGGCCTCCGCCACCGGAGCCGAGCTGCAAATACGACGTGGGTCCAACCACCTGGAATAGGGCATCTTGGAGGAAAGCTTCAATGCACAATAATATCTTGGTGCGAATACGTACCTCTACAAGCCATGTCCAAGCGCACATGCATGCGGGAGTTGTTCCTTGTGATTCCAACATTGTGGTGCCGCCTAGTAGTCTGAGGACTTCGGACAAGCTAATGCATGGAATGTCGACAGTTGTATCGCCGTAGTTGTTTGTGTCAGGTTCAGCTCGATTGCCGTTTGGGATGTGATTCTCTCTATTTTCGAGAGCTAATTACAGTTCTCTGGGTACGAAGAGAAAGAGGAGGAACACGCCTTAGCAGGGTGGAAAGTGTGCCAAACCGATGCCAACAGCCGAGGTCCACGAATGCTTCCTGGATGCCGGTGAATGCCAGCTTTGCACCAGCCACTCAAGTGCTACCGCTGCGTGCCCAGGACGTAGGATGGCGCAGCAAACGGCACGCAGTGACTGCTGGCTGAAGGCATGGCCTCGCGTTTTCCCCACTGCGGTGACTTTGGCCTTCCACTGACTATGCACGGTCTGATCTGCTGTTCCACAAACAGGTGAGAAATGTTTTGCAATGGTCGCAGGGGGATTGCCAGCAGACGAGAGGAGAGGGAGCAGCACTGGTTGTTCTTCTAGCGGTTTTCGCGATATCGTCAATGAAAGCTCCTGTTACTCACTCAACAGTCTTGCTGTGGCCATGAAATGATGATGGCGGTGGTGAAGGTGATGCTGATGAAGGCGATGGTGATGGTGGTGATGATTCGAGGCTGATGATGAGATGATGGTGATGATGAGAACGACGACTGCGATCACGGTGATGGAACTGGTCATGAATATATGCTTATCGTTGTTGCGTTTCGTTATTGGAAAAGCAGTGCTGGTTTTCGATCATCACCATCATCGTCATCATTAGTCATCATCGACATTTCTGTTGGCCATCGTCGCAGCAGTGTCGACAGCACCGTTGATCCAGTCCAGTCGATGCCAGGCAGGAGAGCAGAAGAAGATGACTGCACTTAGAATTACGGACCATGGTTTTCGTTCATTGAATGCCGAGTGTATGGGTTGCCACAGCATGATGAAAGACAATTTCAGATGCATCACGCATCAGAGTCATTTGCTGTCCTGTCACGGGGAAGGGGCCAAGATTGCGTACGCAAGACCGGTCTGCAGCTCCCCACAGCATGCAAAGACCTCCAATGCTTCATGAGCTACTCATCACCCACACGATACTGAATATGCGAAAGATATAGAGCCGCTGTGGCCTGCGATCTGAGCAGGTCAGGGACTGCGAAGCAGACCCACACCTCTGAACAGATCAATGTCTGCTTTGTGACCAGAGATGGGAGGAACGGGATAAGTGATCGCCCAAGTGTCTTGAAATCTCAGCCTCCCAGGAGCGATCTACACATGGACATCCTGCGAATCGTAGGACATCGCGGGTCTTCGCTCGAGCATATGGTTTTTTAGTGTTGCAGTCTCTCAGCAGTATCACGGCCTTCGGCATGCCAAGGCGGCTAGGAGTCGTTGTGTCTGTTGCTGAAGGTGCCGAGCAAACATATTCGGAGAACAACCGATCGCGCAGAAACCGAAGAACCCGGCTGCACTGGCGTCGATCGCCAGCCTGCAATGCCGAGCGTTCCCAATGCGTGAGAAATAGCTTTGAAGCCAAGGCTTGCAGCATTGGGCCAGAGAAGTATTTTCGCATCATGGGGTTTGGATCAGATACGCGTCACTTGTCATACTTGCCCTTTTCCAGGGTCCTGTTGTGGGATTGGCTGTCCTTGGCGACGAGTCTTTGGGGCTTCTGCGTCGTGGCCCGTTCGAGAAGGATGTGAACCCCAGACTCTATAGACTGGTGTACCCTGGCCCTGGCCCAAACCCCCTAAAATCGAGGAGTAAACCGTACTAGCCCTAGCAAACGAAGGCCCTTGAGCCGTTAAACTTGACGGGCTGTTGCGGCACGGAAGCCACAAGGACCGTTGATTCGACGGAACCCTTAGGAGAGTCCTCCTGCCGGAAGGTTGGGTTGAGAGTCTATAGGGCCTAGAGCATAGGAATCTTGCAAAGGTAGAGACTCCAGGAGGGATTAAGATATGATTAAATGCATTTCATGGCTTGAGGTCTCTTCCTGAGAGACCCCTTTCTAGTGCACGTCTCCTTGGAAGATACCACCGGAGATGTTCCACAGAAATCGAGAGTTTCACCGCGCAAGACCTGCTTCTTCTCGAGAAGTTGACCCGCCTAGGTCCTGCGGGTTTGCGCAGCAAAGCTCCCTGCTCCCAGCCCTGGGCGCTATCGAAGAGATCCAGTCTGCCAGGTGTTCCACGATGAAGCTGTCTTGCGTTGTTCGCTTCGTCAGCTCGTGCAAAAGCTCACAGGGGTTGAAACCCTTGCTGAACTTCCCTGTGGTTTATGGCTACAGCTAACGCCTTCGGTTCAATTAGATTGTTCTCCGCAACGTTGTCACGAACCCACGTGAGTTATTGCAGCTCATCATGGCAGTGACCAGTTGCTCCTGGCATTGCCGTAATACTTTTATATGTTCATTCGCCTGATGGATCTGGATTCAGGATGCTTCTTGCCAGGTCCGACTGGTAAACTGTCGTCAACAGTTGTCTAAAACCGGTTCACCGAGCACCTGCGGAGCTTGGCATACTCCAGCGCAAAAGGAGTGGTGAGATCATAGGTGAGATCAGGGAGGATTGCGCAAGTACTTGTAGCGGCTAGGAAGCCTCGTTCTAGTTGGGGTTTTCCGAAAATAGGAGACCCTAATAGAGTACCCTTAATAGTAGGATCATTATTATAAGGACCCTAAAATAAGGTACCCCTTACTTTCGGAAACTCCCAGTTAAGCCGGGATGCAGCGACCTGCCCGAACAAAGCCTGTCGAAGGCCGCCGGTTCCGGGATTCGGCAGATCGCCCTGAGCAACGCCTTCCTTGCAGAAGGCTGGCGCCGAGCGAAGCTGGGCGAAGAGCGCACCAAGGTACCTGTACTGGGACCCTCAGAGTCTGAAACAATTCCAGGGAGTGGGTACATTGGTGTTGCGATTCGGAAGTCCAGGAAGTTTCGATAAAATGTTGGAAAGACATGACCACTCGCGGCTGAGAGCTGCCCCCGGAGGCAAGATCGCATGCGGCGAGGCCGGGCCGTGTCCGGGCTTGGAAGTTTGCATCAACACAGCCTCCTCCAGTTTGGAGTCGACGGACGGGCCCTCCGCATAAACCCATGCCCCTCAACCTGTAGATCCAAAAGCCTTTGAGGCCCAGGACAGCAACTCCCAAATACTCTGCAGCCCCGCCCCGCCCCGCCACAAAACAGACACGATCTGTTGTAGGAGCGACTTTCAGCGATGTTCAGCTCTCTTCGCCCCGCCCGTCTAGGCTTCTGTTGTTGGAGAATTCCGAGGTCAAGCTCGCGACCATTCCCGGAGAGCTCCCTGCTCGGACCCTCGGTTCCTGTCTGCGGCACCCCCGGCCTTGACTTGGGAGCCCCAGTAGGCACAAACTTGTGAAGGCGACGGCAGTGATATCCCTCTACGGCGGTTGGCAGATCCAGGTGTCAAAAGTTAAAAGGATTATATGTCGCTGAACCAGGCTCGTAAACAGAAAGTGGCCAGGTGCGAGCAGAGCAGGGTATGCATGAGACTACTCACTACTCACGAGACTCAATCAGTCCTTCGTCACCTTGCCCCCAGATAGATTCTTGCTGCCTTGTTCCTACATTCGAGCATCGATCGCCCTTGGCCACAACGGCCGCAACAAACTAGCGATCGACTTGTGGGATCGAGGTGGAGGTGGGGGGGATCGACGCCTCGGCATGTGGTCACACAGCGAACAAGGTGGCACATGAGCAGATGACAAGTGAGAAGCCAGGACCAATGAAGACTCCCGTAACATCCTGCGCGCTGATCCTGTTGACGCTGCCAAGGCCTATATATATATATATATACATATATATATATATAGCCTAAGGTCGCTGGCATCTTGAGATCACGGGTTCATGCACAATGGCTGCGGTGGAACAACAAATGCCTTGACAGAAAGACAATTAGAAAGACTAAGTTTCCTCGGAGCAGTTCCTACGGCCGTAGTTGTGGCAGCTGCGAATCTCTGTTTGTCCTCGACCTCGCTGGCGAGAGCTGAGATCCCAATTGGAACTGCGGGCATCCTCGGCCTGGACTTCCTGGCGCTCTTCGACTGGGACTTCGATGTCCGCTCCGAGAAGGCCGGGCCTTTCCTTGAGCTCCGGAAGCAGTCGAAGTTGATTCTTGGCCCGATTTCTGCAACCCTTGAATTCTTTGTGAGGTCCGCATCGCCACCGCACCCAAAGATCGCCGCGCCTGGGTCTTTGGAGAACGCTGCATGGTACCAGGGAATTGGAAGAAGACGTCGGGACGGGGGTATGGCCAACAGAGATCTTGCAAGGTAGATGGACCCAGGAACGACGAATGTCAGCCTCCATCGCACAGCCGTTGGCTACTGCTGTTCCCAGTTCAATTTCGAACCTCGAGGCCCCCGTCCAGTTCGACGTGGATGGCATGGTGGTGGTGCCGCTGACCAAGGCCTCCCTCACAACCCTAAGTGCACAGCCGAAGCTTTCTGAAGGAAGCTGTGGTTTGTTCAGGCAAGTGTCATTGTAGGATATTGGAGGCCCCTTCGACCCTTGATGCTCCTTCGTTCATCATGCTTAATGCTTTGCTTGGCTCGGCTGCCAGATCCGCACCCCTAGCCGTGCAGAGCTGTACGCCTGCAGCGTCAAGGCCAGTCAAAGAGTCGAAGTAGTTTGCAGCTGACCGTGTGAGACTCTGCGCAGTACCTGGCCGATTATTTTTTGTTCAGTCTTAAGCGTCAGCTGAAATGAGTCCGGAGGTGGTTGTGCCCGGTGATGACGTGCAGGAGCCGCTGCGGCGTACGTTGCACGACCTCCGTGTTCTCAATCTATGATAATGTGCTGCGCAGACTTACTTGTGAGGATGTGAAGCTTCGCAGTATTCAAGGCCCACCGACATGGTCCTGGCGGGACGGGATGTGGTCATAGAGCTGTCAAGCGTATTCAAACGTCACGGCATGTTTCGCGTAAGGCTGCAGGTTTCAGCAGGTTGGACAGACAAGACCACAAAGCCACTCGTCCAGCTTCTTCGGCTCAGGTTTGCCAGACCTCGCATCGCCGAGGGCTTGTGAACTTCACGTGTGCATCACCTCATCGTGCGCGCAGAGCAGCATGTTCTGACGCCTGCAAAGTCTTGCAACATAGGCAGCAAGGCCCTTGTAAGCTCGCCCAGCTGTGTGCATCGTTAGAAGAAACTCCATGCTCTCTCAAGTCGTGAGTAAGAGTCTCAGACTCGCGTCGGCACTCTCGTGCTTAAATGTTGTACTGTCCACTATCCAAAGCTATCTATCTAGCCTGCTGGCTATCTAGCTAGATATGTAGCTAAGTATAGACAGATAGCCCGATAGCAGCGTAGTTGCGAGTAGATAGCTAGATTAGATGGCCTGCAGGCTAGCTAGACAGATAAGTTCATAGATTGACAGACAGATAGATAGATAGACGGATGGATAGATAGATTGATAGGACATGTGCAATGCAACATTACTCCCCGCACCAGCACGCAAGTGCGACAGGGAGAAGGCTTCTGGTTCCAATTGTCGGGGATTCGATTCCGGCACGAGGACCAGGATCGCATCTTACCACCTTATCATCCTTATCATCTAGCAACACCTCGAAAATAGCTATCTACCAGTCTTTCTTTGTACATTCTCCTACATGGTTTTTGCCAGCTGCTCACCTCCCAGCAAGAGAGGGGCGAGCAGAAGCCTCGCACTGGAGCTTAGGTCACACACGATGTGCAACAAGGCCGCCGCAAAGCCGCTGCGGAAGGGTGCGACAGTTAGCCAGGACGCAGCTTGCGAGTCACGGGGTGCCTAATAAGATACCAATCTAGGCATGCATGTGAACATAGCTGAAGCACAACCTTGAAGAGAGTTACGGCTCTCAAGGAAGCACCAAGAGGGGTTTACCCCAAGCCAATTCGATTTCAATTTGTTGTCCTTGACGGTCAGTGGGTTTGGGAGGATCAAGCGCTTGTATTGTTTTGCCAGGTTCGCTCTTACTTGCACGCTGGAGTCTACTTTGTCCGCAAACTTTCTGTCTGGCGAGTCGTTCGTCTTTCCTGGCGGCCCGCAGACTCCAATGTTGCATAGGGCTTGCCGGCTGGCATTGAAATTTCTACAGCCCGGGAGCGCAACTTAGCATGACGCTTGCAAGGGGTCGGGGTTCACGGCGATCCCGATGGGAAGGTCAACTTGGTTGTTGGACCGCATACGAGAAATTGAAAGCATTCAGCAATGGTGTTTGTTCAGGGCTATCACTAGAAGTGCAACGGCAGACGTATCCTCGGAGAAGTTTATTTCCGACTTGCACATGTGCTGTGCATTGGTTCAAGGCTCTTTAGCCCATCTATCCAAAGAGACACACAAAATCCAAGCTTGTGGGAAAGGTTTCGACATTGATTCTATACGGAACTGTAGAGGATCTCGGTGCGAGGTTGTCATTGTTGTAGTTAAGTAAGTTGAAGTTCCGCGGCCTACCGGGGTCTTCAGCACCTTTCTTCAATGCTCATGCCGACGATGCACCTGCAAGAGTCCGGATCGGGAAACGTCGCAGAATAATTGCAACAATTACATGCACTCCGTGCGTTCCCTTCCGTTTTCTTTTATTACTCGTAGCCCAAAGCCTGTAGCCCCTTCTACATCTTTGCAGCCATGCTGCCGCTTCTCTTTACTCTGCTCACCTTGCTGGCGTCAGCGTGCGTAGCGGGCTTAGAGGTTTCGGAAGCCGCAGGTGCCGCAGGTCACCAATGCGGATGGGGTTCTGCAGAATGTGGGTTTGGGCACGGTGCGGGTTGCCATGATTCTGCTTGTGAATTGGACATGTAAAGTCTGTCTGCCAATCCAACAGCCACCGGTTTGCTATCCAGCCAGGTCGAGAAAAAGCATCTCCCGAATGATTGCAGTATGAGTGCATGTATTCAAACGTATTCATTCACCTCCAGAACAGCTCGAAGCGCAGGTGCTGATGCTCATGTTGTCCACAAGACGGACCGCAGATGTGTCCTCCTGGAAGCTCGGCCTTGCAGAGCAAATATGGTCTTTAAGACGAGCGCCTTTTTTCGATGCCTCTGCCCAAGACCACAGAGTTGTGAGTTGAAAGTCCACACCTTTGTGAGCCTTGCGGCGCCGAGGAAAATCGCAAAGAAATCGTGTGTGCTATGTCAAAACATGTTGAAATGCACCCGCGTCTTCTGTGACGCCATGCACTGAGGACTCCCAGTCACGTCCATGGTGGCCGCTTTGCTCGAGAGACAATTTGGCTCGTGGCGGATGTGGTGTGCTGTTGTGGAACTGAAGCCCTGGTGGGAAGACCGTTCGAGATTGATCTTTCGTCAGGGGCGCAACGTGAAACAGGGGGAACTCGAGCATCTGGAAAGAAGTCACACACATGCTAAACAATCGAGTGGTTGAGCTTGGAGAAGGACATACTTCGTTTGCTTCAACATGGGTTCGAGATGGGCTTGCAAACAAAGCTGGAGTTCCCTACTTTCGCAGGTCATACACAAGCTTAGTCTCCCCATAGGCAGAAAGCATAGCCTGGCATCCTTGCCATGCCACCGAGTGCTACAAGAGAACTTGAAGGTGCTAGAACTGAATCCGGCTGTGATGCCCAGGTGTGAGTTTGCTGGACAGCGGGATGATCAACAGACTTGCTGAGTTTCCAACCTCTATGCGCGCGCTTGAGAGGCTGGATTTGGGAGTTGAACGAGTTGAATTAGATGGCACTGAAGAGTCCACCCACGTCGGCTGAGTCATGTTTGAGCTGCTACTCCGACACAGTGTCTTGCATTTCCATGCCTATGCGAGGAAGCTCCTGGACCTGGAGCGTCTTGCTGTCAATCAGCTGAGTGCATCATCGGTGATTCGTAGTGTCCGCAGCCGTTTGACTGTTTGACGGTGTGCGAGCGCATATCAGATGTTCACGCTCTCATGCTCGCCCAGGATGTCAATCCGTGACCTCAATGAGGAGATGAGAGAAGCAGGTGTTGATGAAGGCGTTTGCAACTACATCGAAGGAAGAAAACGGCCCATAAAGATGACTAGACATGCATGTGCATATGTGCCTATGTAGAGATGCGAAGATGCATGTACTACATACATACATAACATAAAGGCCGCATACTTAAAGCCATGCCGGTGCCTTCCGACTTCATGTGTGGAACGGCATAGCTTCACGCGTTGATACATTCTTTGTACTGAAGGCACAAAAAAACATATGTGCTCACACCAGAGCCTCAGAGCCACAGGCAAAACGAGCCTCAAAGGCGGGAGTCAATTTGGCGCTGTCGGAGGCCGGCTAATGGCAGCTCCTCAGAGCCCAGAAGTTCACGTAGCGGTGTCGGTACGTGGGGTATGTGTGTGTGTGTGTGTCTGTCTGTTCCTATGCAACTGTCCTGGTACGAGTATCAGTTTATCAACTCCTTGACTTCATGCTTTCACCAATTCTGCAGTGGTAGTCAGAAGTTTTACAAGAGCGCCTGTGTTTTTGTAGAAAACTCGCAGAATCTGGTGCAAGGTGCAGCCATTCGTGGAGATCCCGTCTTTGACCAAGCACCTGCGCCTGCGCCCTCGCCATTTTCATCACCGGCAGTCGACGAGAAGCCTCTCAGTGAAGAGGCACCACACATCTCGTCGAGGGTTCTATCAACGAAGCCATTTCAGCAGCATTCGTGCCTGCATCGTTCCGACTTGCTTCTGTGCAGTGGTTCGGTTTGATGCTCGAGCGCTTTGTCACAGCTGTGAAAATTACGGTACAAAGCATGCAGTCTTCAGTGCCTAAACTTCCACAGGCCGAAGTGGCTGCACCAACAACTGTTATGCGCGGCTCAGCCGCTGCACCGAGCACTACTGTCATTGCGGGCACCATGGCGGAATGTGGGTGTTGGAATTTGTGTGGATGCTACTTTGTCTTATAATAAGAAGTCCCAACAAGGATGCGAAAACATAATCTGCGCTTGGAATATAGTAGTTAGCTAGGCTCAGCTGAAAGAGTTGCGCTGCAGCCTCCGAACCAGGTGCCGCGACAAATTACCAGCGGTGGCGGAAAGATCAGAAGTGTGGAAAGGCTGTTGTCACCTGGCACGAGCAGAGATGTAGACAAGCCAGACAAGCTATCAGACTCGGGACAGAGTGCGCATGCAGCTTCATTCAGATCCAGGAGGGTTCCTTTACTTACCCAAAATGATACTGTAGCGGTTCTTCTTGGTAAAGAAGATGGGAGACTGTTGCATCCACGACGACACACTAGACAGGATTTCTGCGCAGCGGGTTGAGACACGCAAAGAGTTTTGATATGTTCTGGTGCTTTGTGGGCGTTTTCCTTTCCTGAGGCCGCACTACCAGACGGCAAACCTGTGGAGTGCGAGCCGACAGGACAAGAAGCATCAGCTCACTGTTCCCCAAGACGCCAGAAATTGCATCGTGTAACGGACTTTTGTGTTGAGGACCAGAACAATCAACCACAGAATGATACGGGATGTGTTCCTGAGTAGCGCCTTTGCATGTTTCTCTCCGACCAGCCCTTCACCGTCCCCTGCTGACCGAGCGTGCAGGAGAGTTTGCCTGCTGCTCTGTCAATGGCTGGTGTGGCAACTCCAAGAAGCACTGCAGCTGCAAAGGCCTTCATAGATTGTATCACAGAGGTTCGAAGTAAGCTGATGACAAAGATGTAGGACTCGCTTGTGCTAACATGTGCTGACCAGGAATGACATGATTCGTTCGAGGTTGGCAGGTTCAGAGGGTGATGTTCCTGCTGCTTGACCAGGCTGCGTCAATTACCGCGACATCTATGCCGGGCAGTCCCAGGGCACCTCGCAGAAGGTGCACGTCCGAACCACAAAAGCTCCACAGCACACGCACATACTGATACATACACCTAAGGAGCTTGAGCTCAGCTCGGCAATTCCCAGAATTGTTACCACCAGTCACGGCCAGATCTTTCTCTCTCATGCACAGCGGGTCGTTGGAAAGCCGTTTGATGGGATGTCGGAGGCCGTGGCGCTACCACCAAGTCCGCCCAAAGATGGCAGCTCGGATCTGGGAGCGTTTTGATTTGGGTTATTTGAGGGACCACCCTCTCAAGAAACCATGGTCTCACGTAGAACTTGTCGGTTAGATGGTGAAGAATATAACAAGTAAGAGCCCCAGAAAGACTTTACCCTCGCTTCCCCTTCGTCTCCGACTCGTCAGGCCACCAGGGGAAGACTGTTGTCGTGATCATCCCATTCCGCGATCGTGAGAACCACTTGAATCTGGGACGTCAAGTTTGAATTTAGAGATCCCTCGGGGAAGGCTCAAAGGGATCTCAAGCTTGAGAGTCCGGTGGCTGGACGGAAGTCAGAACCAGAACCATCCCTACCAGTCCTATATCTGCACAGACTGTATTGACGTCCTGACTCCGTGCCCTTGGGAAGAGAGTCGAGGCCTTGTGACAGCCTTTACTGATGCTGTAATGCAGTGAGAGCGTAGTCTTCGAGTGGTCACGGAGGAAGCTCTTCAAGCCGTTTTGGCGGTGGTTTGCAGAGTCCGGACGGTCGCCAAAGACTGTGCAGAGATGCTCGGCGAAGATATGCCTTTGCTGCCCAAGTTTTAGAGGTCTCTCTTTGCCAAGAAAGGCTGAAGCCGGCTTTGGTATGAGGGGATTCACTGGAGTCAGGGCTTTGTGCCCGTGTTGGCAACCGAGCACAGGGCTTGCAGGTTGAGCGCTCATCGCAGGATTTCTCATCTCCCGAGGGCTCTCGGGAGATGCAATCCTAGATCCGATCGTTCCAAGTCATTGCTTGTCCG